AGAAACCAATTAAAGATTCTCCTTCCTCCTCCTTGGAGTCCAGAACAGACAGTGGACCGAAGGAAAGACCTGAACATGTGGTCCCAAGGAAACGAACCAGGATTTATTTGGTACCGGCACTCTCAACAAGAGCCCAGACAAAGAAAAGAACCATGGAGATTGCAGAAGATAGCACATCAGGGAACGAATTTAGGAAGACATGTCAGAAATGGACATCTGAGAACTCAAAAGAACAAAACCCCAAGAAAAAGGTGACATTTGCTGATATAGAAAATGAAGCAAAATTTCTGGAAAAATATGTTGAGCTGGATAAACTGGGACACGGAGGCTCTGGATCCGTCTTTGCAGGCTATCGTAGAGAGGATAACTCACCTGTGACCATTAAACACATCCCAAAAGAAAATCTAGTATGGAAACATACAGGTGAGAAATGCAAAGAGCTTCCAATGGAGGTAGCCATCATGCTTAAACTGATGGATGTAAAAGACGAGCAGTCATTCGTGGTGTCGCTGTTTGACTGGTATGACCTGGGCCATGAGGTGATTTTGGTGATGGAGAGACCCATGCCTTGTGACGACCTCAAAAGTTACCTCAATAACCGCAGACGTCCCCTTAAGGAAAAAGAGGCCAAGGTAATATTAAAACAGCTGGTGAAAGCAGCCATCCACTTAAAAAACAAAAACATCTTCCACAGAGACATTAAATTGGATAATGTCCTTATTAAGACAGACTCAGAAGAGCCGCAAATCTATCTCACAGGCTTTGGGTTAAGCTGCTTTGATGAGGGAAAACCATATGAAGTTTTATGTGGTGCTAATATTAAAGACCCAATTTACTGGTTCATTCAAGGAAATGATGAAGCTGCTGTACCCATAACAGTGTTGCAGATAGGAGTGGTCCTGTTTGAGTTACTCCACAACACGTTCAGTACCAAAACACTAATTTTAGAACAGCTAAATATCAGCACAACACTTTCAAAGAAAGGCCAAGATTTTTTGACAAGGTGTCTGATGAGTAACCCTGCGCAGCGACCCACCTTGGAAGAGCTGCTGGTTCACCCGTGGCTTTCATAAAATACACACACACACACCTACACACACACACATATATTTTTTTATTTAGTTTTTTTTATTTAGTTAGATTAGTTTAGGTTAGGGTTGACTTAGGGGTAGATTTTAGGCTTTTCGCCGGGTGCTCCGGTTTCCTAAGAAAATACATTTTACACAATTTTGATGTTTTTATAGTTTTTTTCCAGAAATTTTGCCCATTAATCATGGAGTTCATAATTACTAGGGATTTAGGATTTTTTGTGGTTCAGTTCTCTTTGCTAGTCCTAAAAAATCAGTGATGTAAAAGCACCATTCATTGCACCATCTACTTCTAATACTTGAACTTGGATATCTTCCAATCCGGATTCTTTTGCGATACCAGCGCCTGTTTTTGTCTATGTTATCATCACTACATTTGATTTCTTTTAAGAGGCTGTCATAACCTCTTCTTTATAAAAGTACCATGTAGGCATGAATGCACAAAAGTATATCCCAAAATTCAACTTGAGATTAGTACATCACAAAAGGAAGTCAAACTAGAAAAAGCTGTTTCGGAGAAACAGCAAGTGGGAATGCTTTTGCTGATTGAAAAAAGCTGAAATTAACTGCAGAACATATGAAAATGTGATAGGAAGTCATTAGAAACTTCAAACTGCAGAAAGCAATTGAATCATCTGAAGATTTTGTAGGGTAGAATCATTTGGCAGTAAAAGGGCAGAAACAAACTCATCTTAAAAGCTGCACAGCCAAACCATACATAATATCAAAAAATGTCTTTAATGTGTGCAGTAGAAGGGTCTGAATATAATGTCTCCCAAGTTTCTAGAAAAATGTATAAAGACATTTTGGAGGGGGGTTTACCTACTGCCCAGAAACATGTCAGACGTGTTATGAATTAGCAGCAAACAGAAAAGCTTAATTACTGTCCAGAAAGAGAGCAGAATGAAGCCAAAGTTCACAGCATAGGCTGAAAAGTAAGAAATTAGCTGATCAAAATTTTGAAATCATATGTGGAAATGTCAAGACTTGGCAAAACAATTTGAAATTATTTAAAATGTGTCGGTTGATCAGCATAAAGAAAACAGTGTCATCATTTGAGGATTGAAAATCTACAAACCTAAGTGCAAGACTAACCATGAGAAGCAGAGAAAGGACAGAGAGAGAAGCTTATAGAAAGAGAGCTAATACCACTTAAGGAGCTGAATTTATAAAAAAAAAACTAACCTGCATGATACGAGCCACTGTGGTGACGAAAGCACCGTTGGCAGGCTTAGGCTGCATGTTACGAGGTTAGCAGATGCTTTATTACAGTGTAAATCTTAGAGCCTTATTAAGAAATGTAAACTGAGGTGTGTAGTCAACAGGCCTTGGTAGTGTAATTTGAAGAAATTGGTTGACTTTGGGTCATAGCTACAAGGCATACGGCACAATGAATAAGTGTGCGTAAGGAAGAGGCTTTTATTTTGTAGAGTCCCTTTTGTCTTATTTTGAAAGTCTATCATGGATGTGTTTCAAGGGAATGGTCATGCCCAGCAGTGATATAGAATCCATTTCTAAACATGAAATCACTGGTTTTCCATGTTATTGGGTGAATAGATAATGTATTAGAGCATAAATGGGAGACTTTTATTGTGAAATTCGATCTGGGGTATGTTGTGAAAAGGTCCCTAGAGTCTAATAGAATCAAGCTGGTAGAGTTTGGGTCATAATGCTGAGCCATTTGAATCAATTAATGCACGAGTATAACATAGAGGCTTTTATTTTGTAGGGTCACTGGAGTCTTATTTTGAAAGTCTAGCAGGGTTGTGTGTTGAGAAAAGGGTCAGACCCAGCAATGATACTTGATGACTTTCCAATCGTTAAATCACTCTTTTCCCCTGTTATTAGGGCAGTAGATGAAGTGGCAGTGGGAGGCTTTTATTTTGAAATTTGCTGTGGGGTGTGTTTTGAAAAGCCCCCTAGAGTCTAATTTTTAAAAAGTGGTTGAGTTTGGGTTATAATGTTTAGCCATATGCTGGGAAAAAAATATGAGTTTAATGTAGGGGCTTTTATTTTGTAGGGTCCCTGGCGTCTTATTTTGAAAGTCTATCAGGGTTGCATGTGAAAGGAAGGGTCATGGCCAGTAGTCATATTGTATCCATTTCCAAATGTTAAATCAGTGTTGTCTCCCTCCATTAGATTAAAATGTGCTAAACTGTGCTAAACTGTAAATGGTATCTGAAAAATTATTTCAGTCTAAGCGACAGCTATCCTTTGTCTCCAATTGGGATAATGTTCATGGCTGTAGCTCATTCACAACCTTAATGGGAAGGAGAAATAAAAAGGTTTGTAAATCTTGCTGGTCTCATGAAATAACATGGAGTTCCATGGTAGAACAGAACTCCCAAAAGTAAAACTTCCCCTGCGAACAAACGAGCGGTGAGCCAAAACCGTAAAAGGTATTCAAAAAATTCTTTCACCGTTGGCGTCAGCCATCCTTCGGCTTCGACTGTGCCAACTTTCATGTTTCTACTAAAAATTATTTGGCCACGGTGACGATGTAAAAATTTGCATTTTCTGAGTTTGAGGATTTTTCTCAGAATCAGCGTTTTCCTATGCCCGAACAAGTCAGCTAAACAGCTAAATCATAAATGATATTGAAGAAATTCCTTCAATGTGAGTGCTAGAAGGTTCTGAAGATGTTGTATACCAAGTTTCATGTTAGTACATCAAATAGTTAATAAATGGGAGCGATACGAAAATATGTATCTTTTTGGATTTTGTCTGTGATTTTTGGAAAATCTCTCATTGGATTTCTATTGGGGAAGTGTGGACTTCTTCATGGTCTGGGCCAAACTGTCGGAATACTATTTATGCCACACAAATTAGGGTTACATTTTCAGAATCCTGATAAAAATCCCTACGTTTTGATGTATAATTTATTTCAATTGAGTTAAAAATGAGGGACTGACAACAATTTGTTCGGAAAAACCAGAACAGCTCAAAAGCTAGAGCACGCACTCTAGCAGTTGAAGAATTCCGTCCATAGACTTCCACTATAAATCTGAAAATCTTAAAATTTTCTTTTAAAGTTTGAAGCTTCACTGAAGCAAAACTGTAAAAGTTAGCAAAAAGCTGAGTTAAACAGTAATAGCAGAAAGATACGGAAACATTTTAAAAGTTGAATGGTGTTTCTAGCTGAAAGTATGCTGAAGTAGTTAAAGGTCGAAGATGATAAAGTTTTATCTGAATTTTGCTGAAATCTAAGAATTCTACATGCATTTCAATGGGACAAAAAAAATGCAGAAAAAGCAGAATATCGCGAAAACTACAAAAAATATCTTTACCAAAAGACATAGCACAATTCTGCTGAACAAGCTGAACGTTTTGATACCAAAATTGTTGAAATCGGTTGAAAACTGCGGGACTAGTTAGAGTCAGAAAAATTTGAAGTGAACAACAATAAGAGGGAATGCATAAGCATTCCCACTTGATAAGGTGTGTCCAAACTTTTGGTCTGTACTGTATATATAAAAAAAAAAATATCAACTTGAATATAGGAAATTGTCTGTGCAGCAGTCAACTAGAATTCATTCTGTCTTACATAGCATAAATATGCACAAACTTCATGTAAACTGAGAACCTTATAGATCTCACTGCATCTAGCTGGGGAAAATAATCTTGAAAAAAAGAGAGAAAAACACAAATTTCTTTCTTAAGGTAGTCTTATATTGTTAAAAACTTCCAGCTCGGCCTTGACAAAGAGTATAAATATAGTTTCACCAGCAAGTGAAGTCAGGAGAAGCATATCTAGCATATCTTAGAGAAGCTTTGTGAAAATAAAGAGAAAACTCTATTGCTGGCAGTGACAAAAGGCTAGTTATCCAGATGTTACTTATCAGAAAAATTTCCACAACATATTATGCATATTATCACATTTCTTTGGGTAACACAAAAATAACTTATCCTTACTCTCATCCAGAAGAACCAGATGCCCATGTTACGAATTCCAGCCATGGACGTCAGCACAAAGTACATGGTAATGACTGTGATTAGGATGTAATCCAATGGAAAAACCTGTAAAATCATGGACAGAGTTCAGCTACACTACACATATAGGTATATATGCAAAAAAATAAACACACAACTCTTAAGCCTAAGGATACGAATAGATGAGATTTAAAAAAAAAAAAAAACACCAGACAAAGGAAGCTAATAGATGTTTACTATTCATAATATTTGTGTAACTGCAGATTTTGTTTATATTAGGTCCATCAAACAACAATTACTAAGTTAAGCGACTAAATAGTCAGACTTAACCTACAACCTGACCGCTACATCTTTAACAACACACTGTTGTTGTGAAGAACTTAATATCTTAAACGCCACGGTCATACTAAGCACTTCTCTAAGACATTAAATCAATGCCACTATCTGCAACGCGATTCTTTATTGGCCCGAGCTGTCTGTCATTTTTTTTCTCTAAAACCTGCAGTAGAATACTAATTACAGTAGAGCATTTCTATTGCATGTTTTTGTCCAGCTTAGAAGCAAAAGTAGAGGATGGTGAATTGATTTTCCATCAATCTAAACATTTCAGCAGACTAATATTAATTTTTCAGGACTTTGACATTTACACATTTTAATGTAACTAGTATGTCTTCAAAAACTTCTGATAGAAAAGACTTTCAATAATAGAATTTCTACAACTTGTTTAGAAACCATATAATAAAGTGATATTTTTTACTAGATTAGTTGAAAAAATGAACACAAGACAAAATTCATAAATGTATTTTTAAGAACACTTGATTTTCTACATGATTTTATTGAAAGTATCTTGTAAAAAAAAAGGCAGCAGATCTTATTATGTTTGACTGTGTAAACAGAAAGAAAAGCTGACTCATATGATGATTGTACATAAATAACTCTGGAATAGATTAACCCATTTATTATTTTCTCAGTGCTTAATGTTCTTAGGTATGGAAAGGTGAGGATTTTTATTTATTTATTTTTTTACGTCATGTTATTTCTAGAGCTTTGAATATATAGGCTCCAAGAAATCAGGTGATTCAAAAGAGCATAATATTTTTAGCTTGACTACACATCATAAGTGACCGCCAAATTCAGAACTCAAAAATCCTTTTTTTTTTTTTTTTACTCATGAACAGACCATAGAAAGTTGGCATGGATCATGTTGAGAAAAAATACTCTTCAATGTCCTTGTTGATACAGAGTGAATAAAAGATATGAATTGTGTATAACAGGAAAGGCTATACAGACATTTTCTCCCACACTGTTTACATTTGATCACTGCTGCACTTTAATACATAGAAATGTCATGAGAGCTGTACACAAGGACATTTTGTTTTGTACAGCTCAATAAATGTTGTCTAAGTTTAAGACTATAAAAAAATTCGGAATTTGTTTATTCTTTTAAATTTACAACCTTTACCTGTAATGAAAGATGTTGGATTTAGAAATTCTGACAGCCCTTTGAAATCTTAAGATGTCATGAAAAATTGTACATTCTGCAGATATGCAGAGACTTTTAATGGTAGCCATCCGAATCATGCTTACTGTAAATACAGGATGCTAAACAGATTAAAATGTGAATTTCTTAAAATGTGGATTATTTTTCCTGGCTTTATATCCAACAGTGATATCCTCTGCTCCTCACATAGAAAAATAGGATAAGATACATTTAATGATGTTTCCCACATCTTCTTCTGATAATGAGATGATATTTTATTAATGAGCAGTTATCCTTTATCCTGAACAGTCATTTTGCCCAAGCTAATATCTGAGAGCTGAGGAAAAGGGGATTCAATTTATATATACATCATTTAAAACATATTTGTACTTTTTATATTAATAGCTAAAAGGTTAGGGTTGTCTGCGAGAATTTAATCAACTACTTAGATTTTAAATCAGTTCAGTATCTATGCAGCTTTTTTTGTGCTATAATTTGACTTACCATTCAACAAGTAATAGTCTCACAATAGCAAATTAAATATTTTAAAGCCTTTATTATTCCGAAATTGAGATCACAGTAGTAGAAATAATGTAAAATGGCTTTAAGCCTATTTTAACTGAAGACAATCAACTGTTTGACATGAGCAGTTAAAGATTACTTACAGGTTGTAAGGCCAGCAGAAGTTCATTGAGAGGATTGGTCAGGTTGGTGCCAAAGATTATGAAACCATAGCTGATCCCAGCAGAGTGCAGAGCTTTATCCAAACTGAACACAAAACAAAAATATCAGTGCATAATTTCATTTTGAAATTAAACAGAAAAAAAACATCAGAAAAAAATTGTAATTTTCTGGTCATAAACCAATATCTATTTGGCAATGTAATTTAAATGTAAAGAATTATGCTTTGTTAAACTGTTACTTACTTTGAAATAAATAGGGAAATAGTGAACAACAATGCGACCAGGATAAAGAAAACCCCCAGTATTATCTGCAAAGAGATGACAGTTAAAATGTATACAACATAATCACAGAATGCAAATGACTAATGCGTAAACTCCTGCCAGGTCAAAGAGAGACCATATGGCATCTAGTACCTCAGGTCAGCACTGGTGCCCAAAGCAACAGTGGGGAAATTTTGGCACAGCGATTTAAAAGGATTGGTCAGGTAGGCAGATTGTATCCACAGAGGCAAAGAGTGGATGAAAGCTGAATATCAAATGAATCGAACGATCTGAAATCCTTTAAGATGGCTTTTAAAATGACATACAATCAAAGATGGGTAAAGATAAATATATTTTGTTTACAAAGTTCAATGTGGTTACAAAAAAATAATAAAATCACACAAAATTCCTCAATAGACAAGACCTTTATTAACCAATGGAGGCCTAGATTTGGAGTCAACACCAAATTCAAGTTGAAAAACACACTACAGGCTGATCTAAGTTTGATTTAATGTCCTTTAAACAGGTCAAAATGAGGCACAACATAGTGTGTGGCCTCCACATGCCTGTATGACCTCCCTACAACGACTAGGGTTGGGAATTGAAAAGATTTTCACGATTCCCATTCCCTTTTCGATTCTATGAAACGATTCGATTCTTTATCGATTCTTTTTTCGATTCCAATTTGGGGGATAAAGGAGAACAAACAGTTTGATTATCAGCATCAACTTTGTTTACTTAACTATTGCACAATCTTACAAACTCAACAAGATCAAGATGTCCACAGGAAATGTGAAACTGGAGTAACATCTGTGTTTAAATGAAAAATGAATACAAGAACAAACTTAATAACCAACAATGTCTAATAACAAATGATGGGATAATAACCTATTTTAAATAACAAAAATACTAATTATAAAACAGTAGTAGGGAAAATTAACAGTTCTTTTGCAGAAAGATGAGCATATCTGCTTTTTCTGGAAGGATATGGGATCTTTCAGCGCTTAAGGTGTCTCCAGCCGTGGAGAACACCCTCTCAGATGGGGTGGAGGAAGCCTGCACACAGAGGTAGTTTTCAGCCAGTCCAGATAGCAAGGGCAGCGTATCTTGCTTGTTCCACCACCACAGTGTGGCGCTATCCCTGCAGGGGATGGAGGGCAAGCTTTTACAGAGCTGGATTTCCTGATCTACCCTCTGGGCTAAGGAAAGACGGGGCTTTGATTCACAAAGTGACCGCAGCTCGTTGTCTTCCTCCTCGAATAGTTCTTCCAACTTGCGTAACTTGCGTAACTTACGTAACTTGCGTAACTTACGTACAAAACGTGACGTAAGTCGTGCTCCCCAGAGCCGACGCTCTAGGCTCTGGTGCTGCGGGAATCGAAAAAAGAATCGTTCAGCGAGCTGCCAAACGATGCCATGGAATCGGAAAATACGGAACCGGTTCTGAACAGGAACCGGTTTTCGATTCCCATCCCTAACAACGACTGGGCATGCTTCTGATGAGGTGGTGGATGGTCTCCTGTAGGATGTCCTCCCAGACCTGGACTAAAGCATCCACCAACTCCTGGACAGTCTGTGGTGCAACATGATGTTGGTGAATGGATCGAGACATGATGTCCTAGATGTGCTAAATCGTATTAAGGTCTGGGGAACAACCAGTCTATAGCTTCAATGCCTTCATCTTGAAGGAACTGCTGACACACTGAAGCTACATGAGGTCTAACAAATGTCCTGCATAAGAAGGAACCTAGGGCCAACCACACCAGCATATGGTCTCATAAGGGGTCTGAGGATCTCATCTCGGTATCCAATGGCAGTCAATCTATATCTTGCGAGCACTTGGAGAGCTGTGTGGTCTTCAAAAGATATGTCACCCCAAGCTATCACTAAGCCACTGCCAAACCAGTCATGGTGAAGGATGTTGCAGGCAGCAGATCGCTCTCAATGGTGTCTCCAGACTCTTTCACGTCTGTCATATTTGCTCAATGTGAACCTGCTTTCACCTGTGAAGAGCACAGGGCACCAATGGCAAATTTATCAATCCTGCTGTTCTGAAGTGCTAAGCTTCCTGTATTGTGTTGGGCTGTGAGTATAACCCCAATCTGCGGAAGTCTGGCCCTCATACATCCTCATGGAGTCGGTTTCTAACATTTGTGCAGACAAATGCACATCTGAAGCCTGCTGGAGGTCATTTTGCAAGGCTCTGGCAGTGCTCCTCATGTTCCTCCTTACACAAAGACAGAGGTAGCAGTCCTGCTGCTGGGTTGTTACCCTCTTTCGGCCTCCTCCACATCGCCTATCTCCTGGTAGCGCCTCCGGCCTCTTGACACTAGGCTGACAGACCGAACAAACCTTCTTGCCAAAACTCGCGTTGATGTGTCATCCTGGATGAGCTGCATTACTTGAGCCACTTGTGTGGGTTGTTTAGTCCATGCTTCATCAGGAATGATGGCACCTCGTCCCACAGCTGATGTAGTCTGGTTAGAACATTGCTTCACGAGAGCCACCTGCCTTCAGTGTGGAACAACAAGTTCTGATGCTCCAATCCCAATTCATTGCAGAGTGGCTTTCAGTCTAGTGTTGAGCGGACAACATTTAATGCAGTTGACTATTCTTACTGCAACATCAAGAACAGCTTTAAGCTCTGGGTCAGGCGATTTACTCGTAAGAGTTTCCCTGCAGATAACTAAGGTCATGTGAGGGGCCACTTAAAAATGCTTAAACTCCATGTAGAAAGACCTTGGGCCAGGAAACGAGCCCAGAACCTTCTTGCTACACAACTGAGCAGCCCTATATATATATGTATATTAGGGGTGGAACGGTTCGCAAAATCCACGGTTCGGTTCGATTCACGGTTTCTGGTCACGGTTTTCAGTTCGGTTCGATACATGTTGATTGTTGATTGTTACACCGAAATCCCATAAAAATTGATGGAATTAATGAAAAAATCCCCCAAAAAATAATGGATTGTAATTATTTTAAAAGATCTGCGGAAACCCTGGATCATTTCCCTATGTTTTGCTGCTTTGAATTTATTCATCTCGCGCATGCCCTCTACCATCTCCAAGGGACTCAGAGGGGAGCGGATGGAGGGAGCCACAGTGGGGGCTGTAGGCTTTGCTTTGAGCAGCCGGTCTGGAGCGCAGCGGGGCGGAGGTTGCTGACGGAGTATGAGGGATTTCGGGGTTAGCATGACATGTTGGTCATGTTGCTGTTAGCGTAAACAAAACGTGTTGCACAATGCTCGCACACTGTTGCACTTTTATCCACAACTTTCTTTCCGTCGCCATCGTAGGTCACTCTAAATGCAAAGCGCTCCCATACAGCAGACCTATAAAGTGCTGCTGGCGCGTCTTCCAACTCCTGTTCTTTCCCACTCGCCATTCCGACACAATTCTCCACAACAACTGATTTTTTCCCCCTGCTACACCTGGCTAAGCTGCTTCGCTGCTTCTTCTTCTTGTTTACTACTGGCGGTTGGCTTTGGTCGCAGTACCGCCACCTTCTGCTCTGGAGTGTAAACGCTTCACCTATGAGAAAAAGGAGCAGCGCATGAACCGAACGAAACACATGCGAACCGAACCGAGACAGTCGAACCGAACGGTTCTGACGGTTTTCATAAATCGTCCCATCCCTAATGTATATATATATATATGCCATACCACACTATATCACTTTTTATCAAACAAAACAACCCTAAATGAGTCAATGTGAAAAAAACAAGCACATATTCAAGGGCTTGTGGATTATCCTTGGCATTATTACATCACTGATCTAATGTAAAAATTTATTAAGTTTCTATGTAATGTTTTCTTTTAAGACCTTAAGTTTAACCTGTCATAATCTATTTACAGCTCCATAAAGGTCACATCCTTTCAATTAGAGCGAGTTATAAAAAGTCGAAACTTCAGGTTTCACATTGAATTCTGACCTGCTTATTTACACTGTCTCACTATACAAAAAAAAAAACATAAATGCCCATAAGCATAAATTGAACTTTAACTCTTAAATTTAACTCTAAAATATTAGAAATATTGACTAAAATATTAGACAGGTTCCTCGCCAGACATGGTGTTTGAAGCCTAACAACAGAGAGGGGATATCCAGACAATCCCAACCTCTGCACTAAAGTGTTCATTCCCACACTTTATCTTATAACTAAGACCATCGGTGACAGCAGAAAGGAAAGTTGTTGTTGTTTTTTTTGTTTGTTTGTTTTTTCCCCAAATTCTAATACAATAACTTAATTTGGGAGGATTATTGTTCTTTCTTTGGCCAATAGATGGTTAGCATTCAAAGTAAAGTAAATCTAGGCTGTGCTGCTGTATACTTCATCCAGAAACAAGTATTACACATTTTAATTCACAATGTTAGACTAGAGGATTGAGTTTGATCTTTTTTTTTTTCTTTTATCATCACAGCCCACACTGACAATTATGCGAGAGGCCTTTTAGGCTGGGAATGTCCAACATGTTCACTAACTCAACCCACCCCTGCTGTTACCATTAAAAAAAACACAGCCTGTCCCTGGCAAACGGTGGTCCCACTGAAATCAAAATTGTTTTGCTTATCACTCTACACCAGTATCCTAGCATACAGTGAATTAATCTCCCAACTCATTACTGCGAAAATTTAAGTCTGGGGACTGTCATTAGCCCCAACCCCCCTTGGTTAAAGACAATGTGTCACAGAAACTGGTTTAAAATGTTGGTTCCAGCCTGGAACAAACTCAAATAGCAGGAAAACAAACAGCAGTGTTGAAAGTAGCATGAACTACAAGCACATGCTGGAATTTATCCTGCTGCTAACATGGGGATGGAAACCAAAATAGAATAAACTATTCAATCTGCTCACTGCCTTGGATGAGTCATCTAAGGTATATCGAGCATACATACTGAAGTTATTCAAGTTAATTGAATATGCATGCATGCTCACCTACAGGGAAGAGCATGAAGGTAGCATGAAGTTAGATATGAATACCTGAATGTGGAGAATGTTGCAACGAATCATCAGACTGCAAATCAGCCTGCCACACTAATCTTTATAAATTAGCTTCAGACTACAGCAAAACATTAAGAAAGACAAAAATGATAGTGTTTAGTTTGTTCAGTGATGTCATATGTTACGTCTTTATGTATAAACTTAGTTTGGAGGAAATGGTTAGCTGCTTTAATGATTATTATAAGAGATGACAGCTTTTATTACTGTTGTAAAATAAAACAACAGTTCAAATCATATAAAAAGGTTTTTTTCTTTTTTTTTCTTTTAACACATAAAAGAATATATTTAGATGCTTCTCTGTACAGTCAAGCAAAAGGTTATTTTAACCACTAATTATCACCAATGGTTAAATCCAGCTAGTTTTAGACATAATAATTGTTTGAGGTACAATTTTTTTTGGTTCATAATATGCAGAAGGGTAAAATAATACTAATTATTTCATACCGGCACCAATTGTAGCTGTGCAGCGGTCAATAATCAATAATGTAATTAACAAACATTATGTCTTTATAAGCAAAGCTTTTTGACAAGGGTCTTTTTTTATAAATTCTCAGTTGAACAGATTAGAGTAACGACTTCCACAAACAGTTTGAGTTTATTTAATCCCTTGTTGACACAGACAATAGGACCAAAGTAAGCTTTTCTTTTGCTCTTGCTATCTGCACCAGGGCTCACAGAGGTAAATGCCCGATTTAAGAGTGCCATTTAACATATTGCAGCATGCAACCACAGCTTTATAATGCAGATCCTCGATGATGTGTATGTTCTATGGTGAGAGGCATCAAACAGACACTGTGAAGATGCAAGTGAGACCAGAAGTATTTAAGATAAACAGTAGGGGATTATAATTCTAAATTTTCTAAAAGATTTTTTTTTATATGTAAAAAATACATGTTGGGAGTATGCACTGCAAAATTAATGGTTGAAACTTGTACATAGAAACACCTGGGTTAATGCAGGACCCACCATGATAAGCTAAGAAAGTATAGCGACTAGGTTATTAAAATACATGTGTAGAGTACGGACACTGGCTGCTTGGACCAAAAATCAAAGAGGTTTGAGGCTGATTTGGTGCATCCCATGGGAACTATACAATCCTGTCTGAGAAATACAAGTCCCCCTTAGAGACTTCACAGTAAATCAGGTGAAAAGGCTACCCATGGGAATCAAGGAAACATGCAGTGCTGTAAAGTAGAACTAAAAGTAAATCTAGAGCAGTTCAAGTTTTAAAGAAAACCAACTACTTTTTCATTTAGTTTTTATTTTTATTTAACCAGGTAGGTCAATTGAGAGCTAATTCTCATTTAGTCTGACACCCGAGCAAAGGAGTTGTGTACTTTGCATTGCGATAGCACAGCACCATGCATAAGTATTGACACTCTCCCAACTTCACTCAAAACCTCAGTCTATTTTACTGGAGATTTGTGCTATAAACGTATGCAGCGTGTAGCCCGTCTCCTGCCTAATGACTTCCAAAGCTGGATCAGAGGCCCCTACCAAAATCTTACAAGATCAAGCAGTATGGACAGTGGATGGACTGATGTGACAGACTGTTACATAGCGGTGCATAATTGTTGGCTGGGAAAAAAAAGTATGGATAATTTAAACATTTCTGCAGAAAAAAAATGTGGCATTTTTGTAACCCTTCTGTAAAGGCCAGTGAAATACATGACTAACGGTTGTCCTGACAATGAAGGTCTCTCACCTGGGTTGTAGATTTGTGCAGCCTTTACAGATTTAATATCAACCCTAGGATTCTTTTTCTGACTAATTTCCCTACTCACCCCTTTCCGTTTGGGTGGACCGCATCTTTGCAGTGGTGAGGTTCTCTCTTCATTATCAGATGCCATAGAGATTTTAAAACTCAAATAATGTTTTATAACCTAACGTTTGATGCCCTTGACAAACCTCACACAACAGCTGCATTTCTAAAGAGAGTAAATTACAAAGCAAGACCCCTTATACTAATAAGTGAAGTAATTGCTATGGATTTTATTGAGGTATATAGCATTAAAAGGGTCTAAAATGATGTGCACATTTGTCATTCCGATATATATAGATTATAAAATCATGCATCGTTTCTCTGAAGAATCTATAAAACCAAAAATGTTGCTTCTGTTTAGAACACTGTCCATGATGCACATAAAATTTACATCTATGAACAGAAGCCAATTTCATAAATGGAGACTCACCTTCACAGGTCTGAGAGCACTGCCAACTTTAGAGCAGCAGTTCCTCTCTGCAATGTCCAGGTGTCTTCCTCTGCGCTGGAGGACCTGCAGTTTGCCCTCAAGCTCCTGTAGGCTACGTCTGTCCTTTGAGGACAGAGGACGTCCATCCTTACACTGAAAAGGAAACCCCCAAAAGAGTTAAATACAGATGCACTACTGATATGTTACCACTGTAAGCTAAGAGACATTTAGGGTGAACTTTGGAGTATACATTTTTGTAATGTACCTTTTAAAAATATCGCCTAAATGACTGGTTTTTAAGAAACTTACATTTATTGTCAGAAAATAGATAAAATAATTTTTAAAACAGAGAGAAAAACACAGCTGCTATCTTAAAGAGGAAAAATACATTTAGCCAAGACAATTTATTAAAATTAAGATATATTTCCAAGTATTAAGTTAACAATAAACTGCATTCTTCAGCGTTTTATCAAGTTTTGGTTACATCCCAGTATGGACAGGGAACATCTGAATGGATGGTTGAAAAGAAAAGACTAACACTATATAAGAAAATGCTAAGACTGAGGGGAATAATAATAAAGAATCAGTGGTGCTTAACTAAACGGCATGTGTGGATTTTTATTGGAGCTGCAAGTTGATGCAATGTTTGTGAAAACTTGCATTACTTTAAAGATCTTTGAAATAAACAGCAAAAAAAAATCAAAGATTTCCATTGGTATAGAATTGTAAATGCATCAGAGTTCATGAAATTTATTGAAACGTCGCCATATTTGTGTTTAAGCCATCTGCATGTGAACTGTAGGCAGGTCATGCCATTTTGAAGACCTACCTTTGATTTGAGATTTTCAATCTGATGCTCAACCTCGTCAATGTCCTCTGTGTTCTCAAGGCGTTCATAGACGACACTCCGAGTGCCTTTTATCAGATTCAAAGGCATGACAGACATCCCATATGCCTGGAAGATGCAAAACTACCATTATAATCACACACAATTGTCAGAGCAAGGGTGGCACATATGGCACACGTGTTTCCTCCCACACGCAGTCACTCCTGCCTGGTGGCAAACCCATCACATTGTGACACATGACAACAGTCGAATGAAGGTAAGCAAACACAGGCACGTGGGTGCATGGCAAAAACCCCACAGATCCTGGCCTCATAGGCGGTGTCATTTTTGGCAGACGGGGAAAAAAATAAGATTAAAATGGTGGAATCTATAATTGTGCCGAGGCTTATTGAAGAATTTGCTGCAACCATTTTGTGTGGATATCACTGCCTTATATCACTGTAATGCATTTACAGCTTAACAGTGCCCCCATGTGACAGCAGTATCCTCCAACTCAGCATTTCAACAATTTTACACTCAGTCTGTAAAGAAATGTCTGCTCTACAGAAAAAAATTTCCTTTTCATTTAATTTCTGTTTTGTTTTTGAGGGGGATGGGGATAGTTTTATTTATTCATCTGCCAGACGTGGTTACAATAAAAACAAGAAGACTGAAATGAAGAGCAGAAGGAAAAAAATGAATTAATTATGTAACCAAAAATAAAATTCTGTGGTCCTTAGATACTTGAGGAGGAAATCTTAACTTTTATATAAAAAGAAATGAATGGATGTTCAATAAAACCAAACAGCAACCCATTAAATATTAAGCTAAAGGCTCCAGTCAATTGGCTCCATCTCCTTCACTAACTATCCAAAGTTATTTAAAATGGAAAGAAAAGGAAAAAAATCACTGTCATTCTGTGTGAAACGTTATTTCAAAACAGGCTGCAATCTTTTAAAATGTAATACACTTTAATTAATTGTTCTAGTTTGAGTGTTAAGACAGCATTAAGATTGCCACATGGGATACAAAGTCAGGCTATACTATTATTAGTCTGTGCAGTGGATCTATGCTATGGGCGAATGTCGCCTCCTGCAATGAATCATGGAGCTCTTAAGGCCAGTGCATGTCCCGAATATCAAATACACTCATAAAAGGAAAACCTGTCCCACATCCCAGGAGAAACGTTTCCCTTCCCTTTCAAATGTGTAACTACACTGGTGAAATCTAAAATGATTTCTGCAGTTCTGGGCTCAAATTTCAGTTCAACCATAATGATGCATGCAGATTAAATGGATTTTAAAACCAACCACGGTTAATAATAACCAGAAATACCTTATTAGAGAAGTCTGTGTGTGTGAATCAATGTGAGTGCTGGCTAAGAGTGAGACTCAGAGAGATTCTGATGCCTGCTGAGAAGGAAGAGGGAGATTTAGCTGGATACAGGTTTGCGACACAAGCCTCTCCTTTGTTGCTTGATATACTTGTGATGGTGCAGCCAAAAGAAAGAGGAAGTGGTGCAGTGCGAGTTAAATAAACCTGTCGGGTATTTGTATGCTTACAATTTACATTCAGAGAAGTGAAGGGCTTTTTCTTACAGACAATTTAGCAATACATTTTATTTTTATTTATAGTTATGTTTATTTTTATGTAAAACATTCATTACATTCTCCTTCTATCTTGCAAAGAAAATAGCTATTTATTCTCCAACCTTATCATCAGATGGTGGTAAATTCCCCACAAATGCCCTTTAACTTTTACGAAATAAAAAATCTGGATGAACTCATTTTGAAAGGTTAATACCTGTATGACCAAAGATATTAAATTTATTAATTAGAGCTAAACATAAAAACCATGCCCTAGCCTCCCTTTGCAACATTTAAACCAATCTTTTCCATGTCTTACTACACAAATTAATTAAAACTTAAGACATGGCATAGACTAAATAATTAAAAAATAAAAATCTAACAGGACTTGATATGTGTCACGTTGTGCTAAGTGGATATAAACATTGTTTGTTAAAATAAAACATGGAAGATGCCAGGCTTTCTGGCTCGACTGGAACGTTGCTGATTAATAGAAAATAATCCGAGGAACCAGTTTTCAAGGAAGAAAGAAAAACGGTCAGTCTTAATGCTTTTAGTATCATATTTGGATGATAACAAGATGGAGATGGAGTTACAGAAAAGGAAAACAAATGTGTAGAAGCTCAACTTACTGAAAAAGAAAGTCACTGTATATGGATGTTGGTTTCATAAGCAGTTAAGCAAAATATTGTGATATCGCTACATGTTCAGTGTGGGTCGCATTTGGTCAAGAAAGCAGTAAATAACATGTTCATAGGCCTTTTATATTGAAAGTCTACAAAGCAACAAATCAAACTAACACCAAATGTTCGTCTGGCTAATTTAAGCAAAAAGACGTTGTGGATATAGTCTGATAATCAGTGTTAACCTGACAGCTTATATCTTATCTAGGACTGGAAGCCCTGTTCAATGGAAAGTAGATTACAGTAAGAGATTATTTTAGTTTTTTAAATGTTTTCATTCAACAGAAGTATAAGGATTCTTCACTAAAGGAAATTCTGACTAAAGACAGCAGGAGTGTATTCAAAATGGTAAATGGTCTGGACTTGTAAAGTGTTTTATCAAGTCAAAGCACTCCAAAGCACTTTGCAGTACATTCAGTCATTCACTCTTTCACAAACATATTCACAAACTGATGGTGATAAGCTACACTGTAGCCAAAGCTGCACACTGACAGCTTTCTCCAAAAACGGCTTCTTAAATTTATTCCAAAAGGAATGCTTCTTTGGGGAGAAACTCAAGACATTGGTTTAAGTCAATGATTTCAATATTGAAATCATGGGAATAAAAATGCTACTTGATTATTTTTGACATGACATTTATTTTTAAACAAATTAAAAATGTGAATTTATGCTTGTCTAATTTTTTTTATTGCTCTTATTAGGCAAGGCTTTTTGAAACAGGAAGTAATTAAATGATCTACATAGCATGAGTTCATTTTAAATAGTAAAATATTAAAATTAGAATGAATCTATAATTCTACCTAAAGGGATAGTTAGACAATTTATGAAGTTAACTATGACTTAGTTTTAATTTAATTTAATTTCCCTTTGGAATTTTAAAGTATTTTGTAATTGAATAGTTGTATATTATTTCTAGTAAGCTAATTATCATAATTATAATATTGAATACCTTTACAATTTTATGTTAGAGTATTTAGTTTTCTTACCAGATTCTTAGCCAATGTCCAAGCATAGAGCAACTGCAGAGTTTTGAAATAAGTTACAAAACTAAATTATCATTATTATTATTATTATTATGACTTGCTATTAATTCTACCTGCATTATTTCAATAATGCAAAAAATAATGTTTCACACCCATTTTGACAATAAATAAACTTGCAATCAGTTGTAGAAATCGAAGGATATAACTGCTGGTTTAGCGAGAAAGGACAGAGAACGATAGATCAGGCACAGTGAATGGGACTGAAAGATAATTAACATCATGTACCTCATTTTTCAACCGCTAACTTTGTCTAATTTAACGTTTTTCTTGGGACATCTAGAATTAAATGATCTGCTCTGCTACAACATATGATCATGATGGATCACAGCTGGAAGGTAACAACACATTTAAGATCTATGATATGCATTTGGAGATTCACATCTTTGCTTTGCTTTAGTGGTAATGCAATAAGCCTAATTAGGCCAGTAATTGCAGTCATTTCGCCCTACATTTTCTAAAAAGTAAACACAAAACAGTTTTGTTCCACTTACGATTTTGGAAAAATTACTTTAACTGTATGAAATTGTATTAATATTGCTTTACATTTGAAGGTCACAATTTGTATTTTTATTTTTTTAAGAATAGAGGACACAGGAGTCTCTGCAGCCAGTGACTTCAAAAAATAGAAACTACTTAGTGTTGTAGCCTGAAGGGCTTATTTTTTCTGACCGACTTCAAAAAAAACAAGATGATCAAAAACTAAGACACAGTGGGAGTTCTGATTTCCACAGAGCATTCACCGGGTCCATAGCAACACTGGTCAGAGCAAATCGGAGCACAGTACCACTGTCCAGATGAACTTGGTAATTATCCACTACAGAGAACTGTGAAAAGCTTCTAAAAACAGTGGAGAAAATCCCAACGGAGACTAATTTTAAATCCTAAAGAGAGATTGGTTTTACAATTTACTTGGTTAGTTGGTGTTTTATTCATTAGGAGTTCCACATTCAGTTGTTATATAATTTGTCAGAGCTTTCTGAGCTCAACAGAGACTGGATAGATTGGGGTTGGCTGTCACTTGTACTCTAAGTCTCAGATCCAATAGCTGAGTTTTTTTTTTTCTTCCCGTTTTTTTTCTTTCTGCAGCAGTAACCATTATGCATTATAGGATTTTGACACCAGTAACATCAGCTTGGGGAATTATTAACAGTCTCAATATGGAGATAATGCTATGAAAAGAGGACAACAACAATTACACCCTCCCTTTCTGATAAAAGTAAAAAAAAAATGCAAAATACCATTGGAATAGAAATAAAGGCATACATTAATGGGCACTGAGGAATATCTATGAATATAAACAGACAGCGGATAAGTGGTTGATAAGCCTGTGTGGAGCACCAATACATCATGAAGAGTCCCAGGTGTTCAGGTGAAATGGCAATAGCCTGAGCAATTTGATTGATTGTATGTCAGAGCTTTAAAATCACAAAGCATTACTATTAACAGCCACTCAATCACTAGTATACCGCAAATACAAAGAACCATGTAAAACAATGAAATGTTCAGTAAATAATGTCTCACAAGGGAAAAAGTTTTCATTTCATTTTAAGCTCTGGAGACATCATCTAAACTATATAGTTGGGTATAATTCTTACCAAGAACATAAAAATGTAGGAATTTTTAAGTCTTCCAACATATGAATTTTCACTGAATACATCAAAAGAAAACCTGGACACAATCAACTTACAGTGTATGTGATCACTGCCAACATTCCAATCAAGGTCAAAGAGCTGATGGAGAAAGATAGAGCTGGAAGACCATCTGTGGGAAAAAACGAAACCATTAGTTAGCTACTGAAACATTATATGAGGCTATTTTCTGTTTTACATTTCCATATTTTATGCAACGTTTTCTCTGCCATGTCCGTTTATGAGTTTTTGTATTAAAATTAAAGAGGTTTGATTTAATGATCTAGAATACTAAATTGTTAATTTTAGAAAAGAACTAAGTTTAAAATGAGTATCACGTTCAAGTCTAATACAATTCTTCAGCTGACTTATTAATGGTTTCCCATGACCACACAAAAAAAGTTCTGTCAAAGGCTACTTTCCCCAGCAGGCTAATGCGGCTCATATCCATTGTTAGATTTTTTTTTTTGTCTGAATAGCCCCACTTTAATCTTCTCACCTAAATAAATTCTGATTTTAGCTACTTTGATTTCTGGTGCTAAATTGGATGTTCAATAGTTTTAAAAGCGTCAGCGGTCTGAACAATCCTGTTGCATTTGATCACTTTTACATATTTTCATAGCTCCCACTTAACACAAAGGGATTTCTAGGGTTTTAGAAGTCAACGCTCTATTAAATGTCATTTTTAATATGCATTATCTTTTGAGCTTAGTTCCTTTGTCTTCTTATAAAGTAGTCATGATATTTTTGGTCCACAATTGGTCAACAGTTTAATAATTACACAGAGACAACAACATCCTCTGTTATGTTTTACCCAATGAAGCATCATTGAACATTTCTATTAGTTTTACTTCTGTAAACAGAGGGCTGCTTGTGATTCCAAGATTCTACTTCTGTCCATGATGGCCGTCACATTTAGTTAGTGGTTTGAATAACAATGCGAGAAAAGGAAAAAAAAAAGCAAGAAGAAAACAGAATTAACAAGCAAGATTTGAGTATAAACTGACTAATTTTATAATTTCTCTATAAAATTTCAAATTGAGTATATAGTTTGTTATTAAACAAAACCACTGAGCCACATCATGTGCTGAAGTATTCTTGAAGAGTGTGACAGCAAGACTAGAAAAGTGCTGCATAAGTGTATGTTATTAAGATGCTGCTATAACTACCCATAGGATCCTTTTATTGTTTCATTTCTGATATAATATCAATATTACAGCTTTGAGAATAAAGTGATACTAATGTTGATCCGATACAATATAAGAATAAATTATACATCATTTATTTTATTTTATTTTTTGTAATGCAGAATGACTTACAAAAGAGTTGATCAAGTGATATTACTATAAAAGAACAACAGTCAACACAATAGGTATGAGAACAACTGACCCGTGTAATATTAAACAACGTGTTACAGAAGCAGAGATTTTCTATCAGCATGCCAGTATAGGAGATCTTAGATGTCAGCTGATATAATATGATATTAGTGTTTTGGCTAATATCCCATATTCATATTGGATCGGGACACCCTTAATTATTTTATGTGCCCTTGAAAAGATCATCAAATGTTTCTAAATGCCCAAACTGATCCTTGGATTATTTAATAGTCATCTGCTCTGCTTTTAATGCTTAAATTTTCCCAAGGTTCCAAATTTTGGCATTGGGGTCAAACAAAATACTATGGTACAAGATAACAACATTAAAAACTGCTATATTTTTTGTGGTTCCGTAAGCTTCCACTGTCATCTGGTGAAAAAAAGACCTGTCTAAATATCAAGCAAATGTTACACTTGAAAGCTTTTCTCTGTTTCTCTCTCTTATTGAGAAGTAAAAAGGAAAAATATTCTGAGTTGATCCTGGTGGTTGATAAAGTAAACTAATAAGAACTTCATATTGGGCTGGAGTTCAACATTTATTGAGGAATAATAAACCTCTTAACTTACATGGGAGTCTTTAAGGCTTCATGGTAGAAAAAAGAAACAGCTGCAGACATATTTCAAATCATTAGCAAAACCCTATTGGAATACCTTAATTGGATAACCACTAACAGCTAAAAATGCTGATTTTAGAATCTACATCTGAGCGAGTGCTGGCTTATGATGACTTTGCAATTATTTTAAAGACATCATTATATTTTACTGTAGTATTGAACACAAAAGAAGTTGCCAAAGAGTCCTATAATAACACAAGATTCTTTAAATCCCATTAGAAGATAAAAAAAGACTCATCTTTTACTGAAACACATTTTTAGCTCTTTTTAGCTGAATATCTTGTCAAAGTAAATCTGGCCTGATTTATTTAGCACTTATAAAAAGATTCTTAATAACATAAGTTGGGATTTATGAGACATTTAAACTCTGTATATTATCAATGTTCCAAAAATAGATATATTTTTTTTTATTTCCCTTTGTTTTTACAGCCTTTTCTAAAAGAAGTAAAACAAAATTCGCAGGTTCATTGGTTTGACAGGAAGATCAGAAGTGGTTTGCCAGGTGGAAGTTTTCAGGCTGGCCATATCACAGCCAGTTATGGCAGTTGTAATGCTTCAGACAGCAAAAGCTTTACAAAATGTCATTCCATTGGCACAACGCATTACCCAAAATGAACTGCCAGCCTCCCAGCAGCTTCACAGACTGCACTGTTGAAGAAAGGCAGACAAGATCATCTCTGACCTCTGCTATCCTAACTACACGCTTCTACCATCAGGCAGTAGGTACAGAAGCATATAGTCATGCTCCAGCAAATTCAAGAACACTTTCTATCCAGTTACATATAAATGTAAAAAAAAACATGGAGGTCTACTTCTTCTAAAATATTATCCAACTGTTTTATTTTACCAGCACTCAGTCATATCAGAATGTTGATTGATTAGAGGTCTGTAATGTTGTGTATGAGAATACATTTGAATTGAATTGAATACAACTGATGTAAACTGAATTGAACTTAAGTAAGAGGGAAAATAGAATCCTTTAGGGGTCCAGAGCCACATTAGGCATATGGTTAATATTAAGTTAAGCGAGACTTGGAGCTTTAAGGTGTCGTTTCATCCTCTTTTGTCTAAGATCAAACTTATTTCTATTGAATGTTGCCTTAAATATGCTGGTGAAGATTCTCAGTCATCCAGGTCATAGTCATTCTGTAAAAGTTTAAAAAAACAATCCACTGGACTTGGTTTCCAAGGTTTGAAGAGGATTCTCTTCCCCTCCAGGAAGCTTTCTCAATTCAAAATGCCTTAAATGTCTTTCTGAATTGCTGTAGTGCAGCACAGTAGATAAGTTGGCTAAAAACTTGTATGCTTACAATTTACATTCAGAGACGTGAAGGGTTTTTTTTATTGTTTATTTACAAAAACAAAAAAATTTTGGGGTGAATTTCTAGGTGGTACCACTGGATGTGAAACAGTTTTAGAACAGCTGCTGTGCAGTTGCATTTGATCTAAAAGCATGAAGTTAAATGAAATGATTGAACTATATATAAAATATATTTATGTTTCTATATAATTATTTTAAAAAGAATATGATCTTCTAATTACATTGACCTTGGATTATATATTTTACACAATAGATGTTTGAACAGCTTGGTATTGGGGCATGTGAAGGTAGAGTTGATGCGTGTAACTCTCTCAAGAGGCAAAAAGGACCACCTATCAGGAAAAGCACCACAGTAGGTGTGACGCCAGCTGCCAGAGATAAAGTTAGAAGAGAAGGATTGATGAGGAGAGTGATTGTTTCACTCCCCTGTCAAGATCCCACCTGTCATGGCATTCTAATTAAAAAGCCTCACATTTGTCCTTTTATAAATATCCCACATCCACTCAACGGCAACTTCATGAAGACCAGACCACCTGTCATGGTGGTCAGAGGTGGGTCTCTCCTTGTCTGTCTCCTTGACACAGGCATTTCAATTGAAATATTAAGTCAGTATTCAGAGCATGTATAATTTGGGCTGTTTGTGTCATTAATTCCGTTCAACAAGAGACTGTCCACATGTGGTAGGACATAGGTAGAAAAACAGGGATAAATATATATACATTATATTGATATAATGCAAAAAGAACTAAACATTTTCAATAACTCTGAATGGAATTAACATTTCAATACCTGTTTCTGAATCCTGAGTGTTCCTTTGCAATTTTTCTAGCGTCTTTTGGTGGTGTGCTTAGCGAAATAAACAATAGCTTTTTGTTCTGTATAGAGAATATTTGGCTCATGGGCTCTACACAAAGCAAAGAATGGATGTTTGCTGCAAGTCTTCTTTATTTCTCAAGCAGATTTTCCAGGGATTATACATAGAGAATACTGTCTGTCGTCTGTGGTTCTTCCACATCTGTACAGTGTCAATTCAAAGCCGATGGAATGAGGAAGCTCTTTATCTCTCTCTCTACATATAACCCTTTAGGCTTGTGCTGATGCACGAACCTCATGCATTGAGGTGTTCTTTCAGAAGCTCTGGTGCTCTACTTCGGTGGAATTTCAGCTGAATTATATAAACAGAAGCAGCTACAAGGGCAGCCATATATTGAAACAGAGAACACAATAAACTATTGTATAAAATCATAAAAGGTTGGAGGAGCTGAGGAACTTTCTCAGTTCTAAATGGTGCAGCAATGGTGACTATTTTAAAAATGTGAGAAAACAGGTCAAGATCATTAATGACATCTGCAAAAACTGGAAGTTTATAATGAAAATTTATTTCATCGTGGAAATGTATGGACAAGCTACACACTTAACAAATGCCAAAGAGCAGATGTAGCCTAAATTATGAATGATGAATTCCCAGTTTCCTTACCAGTTAAGATTTATTTTTGCAAATGTAAGCCCATGGCCTTGGGCATCATTTCACTGATTTTACTTCACATTTGTTTCGTCTGGGCACAAACCCTGTTCTGCAGGAAAAAAAAAACATTTCATCTAAGAAGTGATATGAGCTAATGACAAGGGATATAAGCAGATGCAGGTATGGTGTAGTGCTGCATCCTTTAAATCCTCATGTGCTTCTTTTGAAAACGATAATACTGTCTCTGCTTTGATAATGCCTGTTTTATGATAATGACACATAAAGGCAATTCTCTGTTAACGAGGCTTGTGGCATTCCACCAGTAACATATTTCTTTTAAAAGTAAACCTCATTGGTGGATGCTGGATGTTTTAAAGTGCTATATATATAAATATATATGCACCTTTATACATAAAGGTGCATAACTTAGAAAAGAAAGTTAGGTGAAAAACTACAGAACACCACTGATAAGGATTTTAATGACTATTCCAGACAGGAGGTAAACTAAGAAAGCTTCCATGGACAAACTATAATGTTTAGATTTAAAAGAAATGATCATAACCCAGACTCATGAACAGTATTGAAGTAAACGATGTGAGCCTCATTTGATCATAGGTTGCACCAGGTTCGCCAGTGGTAAATATCCTAAAGTTATTATATATATTAAAAATAATAGGAGCTATATAAAATAACCTAAATTGTTGCTTAAAGCATAACGACAGTCTAGTTAAAAGTGGCCAACTGCTGTTCTGCTTCTGAAAATGCAAATCATATTGTGTTTTTAAACACCTGTTCCAAGGCTACATAATAATTGGTGTTATCTGAACGGGCCACATACGGTGAGAAAATGAAGCCAGTTGAGCTTTGTAGGAGAGGGCTTCTGGTACTGGGACATTAGCAATATGTTCTATGTACTCTGAGGATTCTGGGATGGGGTCTATGAACTGGGATTACCTCCAACAGATGCCTGATTTAATCTGTTGTCTGATCAGCTCAGGTTTTCCCAGCAGAACACTAAAAAGTGTTTTTTTAATGTTTAATCTATAATGTCTTAAACAAAACATCTATACAGGGCATTGTAATATGGTAAGACATTGTTTATTTAATGTGTAGTGAAAAGTAACAATTAATCTCCATGCTAGTAAAAAAAAAAAAAAAAAAAAAAAAAAAAAAAAAAAACAGTACCTCCAGGTACTTACACCATGACAAAGGCCAAAATGAGAAAACTTGGAAAATCAAGAGCTGCACCACTGATCTGAAAAGAAATTCAAGCAACACTGGTTTAACAAGTGTAATCTTCAAACTACTAAAAGATGCAGTGGCTTTAATGAACAGTTGTTGCAGAAAGTCAGGAGAGTTATGTGGCCAAAGTTCCTTTTTTTTCACACAATTAACTTCCCATCAGGAAAAAAAAAAAAGAATCTGGAAATTAGGAAAAGGGATTATTCCACAAATTTCCTATGCAGCCAAACAATTTCCCCCACTGCACCAATGGAGAAAGGTTAGGGACAGCGTTTAGGGGATCAGAATTAAGCAGAGAGACAGATGGCTCAACTTCTTCATGGTCTCAAGATGGCAACATGCCAAACTACTATTAGATTTTAATACTGGGTAAGATCCCTGCACTACTGTGAAAATATTCAAAAGCAGTGTTTGATTAAAAAGGTGAAGATGCATAGAAATATGTAAACCGCACCTACCTATTCTCTATTAAAGAGGCACAAAAATACTTAAGGATTTTTGCAAATGCATGTTAATAAAGTACTTTAATATTTACAGTTTCTATCCTTTCTATTAGATATATTAGTCTAATCAATTTAAAGGAAATATTAAGTATTGTTTTAACAATGCTTACGCAGCATTTGATAGCAGAGATTCACCAGAGATAAGGAGTATACCTGATGATTTTTTTTTTTTTAATTAAATATTAGAAAAAAAACATTTTGTTCCACTTTAACACTATTTGTTTCAGCAGAAACCTGGCCAAACATAGACAGCAAACAAACAGACAATTATGTGTTACAACAGTCTAGAGATATATGCTAAGAATCAGTCTGGACAATTAAAAGATGATAAAACAAAACAAGCAAACATAAACCACTAAGTTAAATTAATTTTAAAAGTCTTATTGGAGACAAGATGAAAGAGTTTGAGTAGTGATGAGTAGTTGTGATCATAGGCAAATGATAACGCCGACCAGAAGGCATCAAACTAAAACACGAAGATAAAATGTGCTTGTGATCTAAGTCTATGATCTGACCAGCTTTCTTTGTGACTCAACTCCACCAAAGTGAGACCAGGTCTCTTTGTTTAACACCGAGGATTTTTAAACACTCAGACAGACAACCAAACCAGCAGATGAAAGACCAGATGAAAAGACCTTCAGTAAATGAGCAACCTCTTCGAATCCCCACTGACACCAAATAAAAGGAGTTTGAGCAACAGACAAATTCTCTGCTGCCCCTTTTTCAGTGTTGATATCTGTGTTCGTGTTAAATTTCTGTATGTGATCAAAAACAGTTCCTAAGTGCTTGTAAATATCAACAATTTGCACTTCTTCACCATATGATGCAGGATTTATGATCATTTCAACTTTACCAGTAGTCTACAATAATCTCTTTTGCTTTTGAGACGCGGTCTAAGAAGTTACTGCACCAGCTCACAAAAGAACTGCTCCAAAGCGGAAAGGGCTTGACCATGCCATTGATCATCTCCCTATAGAAGGGTAAGGACAACAGTGTCACCTGAGAATTGAACTAAACGTGTTTGATCACTGGGACTTCTGCAACTGTTTGTATATAGAATAAAAAGAGGAGCTAACAGTACACACCCCTTGTGGAGATCTAGTGTTTGCAAAATGACAGCCCTGGCGAAAAAAAATATTTTAAAAAATGCTTTGCTTTTTCATTCATGTTTATATTTTTCACTTTTGTAATACAATTATCAATAATAGTGAGACACTATCTTGTGAATTCATTTAGTTTGGTTAACCGTTTCATTTCCTCTTTAGAAGGTGTTGTGTGGCGGCTGTACTTACGGCTACTGCCGAGCTCATCAAAGAGGTACTGAACCTTCTCCCACTGAGTGGAATTTTGTCCAGGTGCAGCTTCAAGTGGAACAAATGCTCTGAAAGAGTTAAAGAAAGAAGGTTCATTTTTAAATTTTATCAAGCGTTTCATAATCTAAAATATTCCAGGCCATCCAAACCATTTACATTTGAAACATTTTAGGGCAGCATCGGAAAAAAATATAAAACTGCTTCAACACAGACATTTTATCAAGTAGTCATATAAGAAGCATGTATTGTAAAGAACTTTCTTGTTTTTCATTTTTTTGTGACAATTGTTTGATACTTGCAGGTAATTTGTGAAAATGTTAAAACTAATGTAATATTAGCTTATTACTTATCAGTCCGGGCTGTGCACTTTTAAAGATGTTAATTTCATAAGATAGCCAATAGCATATTTTTTCTTCATTTTTAACTCCATTTTCCTTGTACATGCATAAATTAAGTTATCCACAAGAATATGTATTGACCTTCCTCAGTAAATTGGCAGAGAAAGCTTTATTAATGACAGCTTCAAGATGAGTCCTGCACGGAGAAACTACTCACAAATATTGCTCAGATATCATTTTGCTTTAAATACTTTACAAAAGCAAATAACAGATTAGTGTAAAGACAAGCAAAATGCCAATTTATATTTTACAGGCATTTGTAGGAGTCAACAACAGTAAAAGCAAGGTAAAAAGGCAAACTTGGATAGGTACGATGGGGAAAACAGAAAATAAACCAAACAACTAGTAGCAATGATATAAAACTACAGAAAACTGTTTAAAAACAAAAAGAACAACTGGTTGTAGTTCTACGACATTCTGATGCTATAGAAAATAAACAAAAGCCAGAAACCGAGAAGACCTTCCTTCCCTGACCACTAAATTAAACATCACTATGATAGGGGGGTAATAGTTGATGATTTATTCAGCTCTCCATTAATGGCATATCTCATTTTCTCAAGGCGATGCGAGTTTGTAAGCTATGTGAGCCACATCTTTAATAACTGCAAGGTTCTTGCCGTTCCAAAGTTAAAACCTTCTTTACAATGATTATGGCGTACCTTAGAAGGTTACTATGGAACTTGGGTCAATCTTGACTTTTATGAAAGACAAATATAAAAAAATTATAAAAATCATACCAAACATACTGAATCTTATACAAAACTATGCTTAAACCGGTCCCATTGTGTTTTCCACAATGTAGAGATTATTCAGGATAAATTTGATCATCTGAGTAATGTAGCCTTTGCATGTTTTTATATTGAATCATGTAGTGACAGGCATTTATAGAAATTGTGCTGATATTGTACAAAGCCTCCTGTCAAATTCCATCAGGCAAAGGGGTCCAAAGTTTTTCTCTCCCACTCCTCTTCAATTAAATTAGGATAAGAGGGTAGTAATCTCCTGCAGTAAACCATGAGAGGGTGAAATACTTTATCGGACCCTGGACATTTACTAAGGCATTCGTCCAAAATACAAGCCTTAGCCCCTTCAAACTGGAATATAAGTGAGCAACCCAGATTAGTAGCTTTGGGTATCTAAAACAATGACTGTTCAGCACAGGTGGATACTCTAGGTCTGGATAGATCAACATTGTCTAGTTTTCCTTCATCCTGCTCACTTATCCAGGTGTTTAGCCCCCAGTCTGTTTGTAGAGCTGGAAATGCAAACAAAACTAATCTCTGTAGAGGCTGATGATGCCTCTGCTGATGCCTCAACATACCTTTTGTGAGGTTTCTGACAAAGTAAACGAGGCTTAGAACAAGTTTGACCTTGTGTTGTTTATAAAACGACTTTAAAATTTTTAATAGACCAATAGATTAATTATTCTCTTTACTGAATCTAGGTATAAAGGGTCTTACTATCTACCTGGTCAAGCACAGGCACTTCATATTTGTCTAGAAAATCCAGCATACCATTGGTTCCAGCTGAGATGATAAAGAAATTCCTAAAACTGCCTGAAACTGATGGTAATGTCTTTAGGTGAATTAAAATGGTTCCTATTTGGAGAACTTATTCTATTATTATTGTGTTCTCATTCTCCATCTTCTTTGCTTGTATGTATTTTACTAATAATAATGGCAATAAAAAATACTAATATTATTCCCAGCAAATATTCTAATAGATGCACTAACCCAAAAAAGGTTGAAGCCACTGGTCTACATTATCTTTATTGTGAACATTATTTTCCAAATGCATCTTTTGGGCAGTGTTGCTTTGATACTGTCTTTATCTGTGCAATCAGCGATTAGAGCTGATCCCCTCCCCACATAAAATCATCTAAAAGAAAAAAAAGAAAATAATTAAACATCAGGAACCATCAGACAAAAATGGAAGTATAAAAGTATAAAAGTTTAGGACATTTTTTTTCTCTCAACTTTCTTTTTATAAACCAGGCTTTTTAATCGACTGTCATGCATTTGCATCGAGGTAACTTCCAAAGCAAAAGCAACAGACAAATGTGAGCCCAAATGAAGCACATACAAAAAGGCAATTCTGCACAGAATGTTCATGTTTACAATATTAAACTTGGTTTAAGCAATTTCTATAAACAAAAGTGTCCGTCCAATGGGTCTAGTTGTCAAGTCACAATTATCTGCCTTGGATCAAACCCTGTTTATGACTAAACTGCCATTGTATGTAATGGCAGGCTTCAGTGAGATCTGTAAACAATCTCTCAGTCTTGTTCTGTGTCCTTTGGAGTTGAAAGGAAAGGGTATAAAATTTCAGGTTTATCAACAGGTTCCTACATAGTGTAAATGTGGGAATTCACCAGAGACAGAGAATCCCCCCCAATTTTTTTTTTTCCATTGTATTCTCTCAGTGATCAAACAGTAGCGACGATAGGGAATCCTTTTGATTAACTGTCACAGATGGATCCATTTCCTGATCAAACATCCAGCGTCTTCTGACAGTTGAGCCACAATATCACACACTTCCTGTCCATTTTCTTTAGATCCTGCCTCTATTAACACCATTTAAAGTCTGTTTACTTTCATTTAGTTGTTTTAGTTGGCCCTAATGTATTTTCTCAAAACAAACCATGTCATTGGACTTATTTGTAAGAGATTTATTGTGCTTTTCTATCTCAATTTTCACAGCTAAGAAATCCGGCATACAGTGTCTAACTATGATGATTAACGTGATTTCATCAAGTTAGCTGCAGGACCAGCCAACATGTGTGTCATCATCGTCTCAAGGCCATCTCAGAATTGGGTCTCTAATTATGATCCATTCTTCCACTTAAACATCTCTTCAAATCATGAAGGTTTTGGGTCTGAGCTTCTAAAATGCTTAGTTCTTTCCAAGGGCATTACATTTAAAGCAAAGGGAGGGCTTGGGTTATTTTAGCTTTGTTCTTTTTATTTAACAAAATAGTCCTTGTGTGTTTGGAAAGATCTGCAAAAACCACTGCAGTTTCATATTTTACTTCTAAAACAGAATCTCTCCAGAATTTCTCCATTTATCCTTTTTCCATCCAAAATAATAATAATAACAATAATACTTTTAAAGCAAAGGGGGTACTTGGCTTATTTTAGAAGTTTTGTTCTTTTTATTTAACAAAATAGTCCTTGTGTGTTTGGAAAGTACTGCAAAAAACACTGCCGTTTCATGTTTTACTTCTCAATCTAAATATTTCTATAATTTCGCCATTTATCCTTTTTACATTCAAAATAATAATAATAATAATAAAAAAAGTTTGCTGGTGCTACAGCGAGAAATATAGCCCCATGATGTTTCTGGTCCCAAAATTCAGTGTTGGTACATTGTGTTTAGGGGTCATGTGCAGTGACATTTCTCTTACAAACATGATGTGTGCAGTGACATTTAAAGAGTCCAATTGGGGTCTTGTCAGAACAAGCTATGTTTACAGCATTGTCACTGTCTTGTCTAAATGTTCTGCAGGTAATTTTAAATGAGCTTCCAAATGCTGTTTCTTCAGCATTGGAGTCGTGGTGGAGTTGTGCAACAAGTGTGCAGTTTGGTAAATAATTTCATGTTTTCATCGAAAACTGTTTCCACAAATTACCGGTCTTTCTAAAGCACTCTGCAAGTGGCCCTTTGATTTTGGACAACCTCTCTAAATATTGCTTTGAGGCCTGACAGCAACAGTTTGAGAAGCACCTGGTTACAGGCACTTTATGGTAAACCAATTAGGCTGCAAAGGTCTACCTTGAAATTTTTGAGAAGCCGGACCTCTGATTATCCCTGTTCACATTTTTTCAAACTCCTAAATAGTGGATTAAAGTGTTATAAAAACACTACTGTCTGCAACTAGTGTTTTAACAAAATTAGAAACAGATGACTCATTAATTTGTTGCTTGGTAGATGTCCTGTCTTTCAACTTGTATCAAATACTTGCTGACATAAGAGCCTCATAGTAGCAGAGCATCACTGTCAAGAATCAAAAGACAGTAGAAACCAGAGACAGAAAATGTTCATTTTGCAATAGCCCACTTATACTATATGTGTGTACACTGCATCTTCTAATTTTTAATGTGGGAGACAATACAGTAATATGCTCCTTATTTTCTATTTTTTAAAGCAATCCAAGTTTTCTTTCAAAGTCTCATTTTATGGTTCAGGGAGCACATTCAATTAAACATGTTGAGCTCTAGTTATGTTATTGTAGATGCTTGCAAAAAAATCCATCAAGTTTCATTGATGCTACAGAACGCAACCAATGTAAAAAATGATAAATAGAACATGACTGAATATGTCCATCAGAACAGTGCATTTCTTGGTTCTATATAGACCAGTGAAGGTTGTTTATGCCGAGGGAGCTTTGAGTGCGACAATTCACATCCTGAGTTTGACTCCTATACTTAACAAAATTCTTTTCTTTAACAGACATGTTTTTTTGTTTCTTTAAAGTAACCACCACACATTCGGCTGATAAACACTGTGTAGTCTTTCGAAAACATTTCTTTTAATCATGAAGGTTTTTACACATCTTTTACCTGTTGTTTACTGAAGCAGAAGAAGCAATCCATGTCTAGAACTCACCCAATTAACAGGAGCACCACGCAGACAATGACAAATCCAACTGTGTACTTCAGAGCATTTTTCACTTGCTGTAATACAAGAAAAAAAAATAATTGGTCATTCATGGTTATTAAGTGAAATGTTATTATTCATTTTAAGTAGGATAAGGGACTCATATCCTTCAGATAAGCAGCAAGTGAGAGCAAGACAAAGTGGATGTAGATCCAGTTTGCCTTTGCAGAGATAGCAATTCATATCCTGCGCCATTCAAGGTGTCTTTTAAAGTTCCTATAGAAAAGACCATCTTATCTTTGCTTAGAAAAGCGCCTCTCTCAGCTCAAAACTGACACGTGACAAGGAAAGCAGTGCATTGCTGTGGTTGATGGATCATAGCGACTGATTAGGACCATCATTCACCTAAAAGAACTCCAGGGGAAATTTAAAACCAAATACAGGTAAGTTTTTTTAAAATAGAAAGAAAGAAGTGACACAAAGGTTGGATAATGCGTTTTCATCCGCCTACATTTAACTTGATCGATTAGTTTTGATCCATCTGCCCTTCATTTGACTCCACATTTTGATGAATTGTCTGTAACTGAAGTATTGAAACAGAAATGTAGATAAACATTTACAACTGATAATATTTCTGTCTTTTAAAAAAAATTTTGTAAATGTTTTTCTAAAGTTTTTTTTTTTTTTTTTTTTTTAACCATGCTGCAAATGGATATCTTCTAAGTACATAGTTTGCAAAGCAAGTACTAAAACAATCTACATGGCAGGTTTCACTCCCTGACATTTGGTTTCAATCAGTCGATTGAGAACTGGTCTAAAAAAAAAAATAAATAAAACTTGGGTGCCAAGTAGGGATATCTTTCAGATCTTTATGATGTTTCTTTTCTAATTAATTAGCTAACTTATAAAATATCATGATGTAAGAAAGAATTTTGAATATAAACTTTAAATCTTAATAAAAGCAGGATTCACTCAAAATTGATATTGTCGGGGATAAACTGGATAACATCAAATAGAAGAAGGTTATAAACTTACTGCACATTTGTTTACATTGCTGTCGTCCTTTTCTTCATAGTAGAAGTAGACAAACGGGATACAAAGGAAGACAAAGAACAGTATGATGGAGTAGAGAGCTACGGGAAGACAAAGAAAATACAAACATTAATTGTATAATAAATTACTTTTTTCCATCAGAGCATATAGCATTAAGATTTTTAAAAGTAACGCATATTAGTGCAGTGATTAGATTCATAGAAATGTATTTGTTGAACTATAAAGTTATCAGACAATGTTAATATTCCTCTATTTAGATTTCCCCTTTAGAAGAATATACAAATTGCATTGCTATACTTTAGCAGAAAATTACAAAGTAATGAATATTTAACACAATTTAAACTCGTCGAAGTAACAACCACACCTGTAGAAGATATGAGTGTCCTTGATGAAAAATATGTACATGCAAATGGTGGAGTATTTAAATAAAGTTTGTAAATAACACACAAAGCAGTCTATGGTATGGGCTGCTAATTGGTCATTAGATGGGTGTTTGTGTATGTGAATTACACTCTAAAAAGAAAATGATGCTCCAACTTCATTGCTTCAACTCAATGTTGTATGTTTATAAGTTGAATACCTAAATAAATTAAGTTGGACAATATTAAATCATTATCAACAGAAGCAATTCATTTAAGTTTGAGCTGGATTTTCCTTTTAGAGTGCAGAGAAAATCTTAGGTTTAGGGGTTAAAAACAAAACCACTAAAGTCTATTTTGAGAAAAGTACATACGCTTATCAAAATGAATTAGAAGAGAATAAGATATGTAGGGTTCTATCAATCTCCCTCTGAAACCTATGCTGTAACACAGGGACTTTAAATGAACACATTTAAATGCTGAATTACTTCCCAGGTTTGGATTGCAGGAGATACAATCTACTGCATGCATGCAGCAAAAGATTCGACTAAGTACAGAATGCAAAGGTTAAAACAGATGATAGTTGAACTACTAACATTAAATATGAATGATTCCTTGTTTATAATCCATCCCCCACATTCAGGTTTGAAAACACAAGCAGCATCCTTGGCGTACTACAGTGAAATCATTTAACTGAGGTTTTTGTATAGTTTTCATTAGTAAACACAAATACAGCACAGAAAAAAAACATATATGTTTATCACAAAAAGGCAAAACACAAAGGGTAAAAAAATAAAAGTTCAAGGACATTAAGTTTTTTAGCATTAATACTATTAAATAAAAAAATTTAGCTCCAGGGGAAGGTCAATAAATAAAAAAAATAAAAAATAAAGCAAAAACAAATAAATAAAAAACCCACAAAGCCTTGGACTGATCTTGATATAAGTTGTCAATGCCTAATAAAATGAAACCAAGGCCGAGGAATAAAAATCTGAGACTGAGCCCAAGAGGGGGAGAACAAAAACTGGTCAAACCCCCATATCACTTTACAAAAAGGTGCATTGCTGGCACTTTTAAAATAACCACATATTGTAGATAACATTTATCTGAATAGCATAACCTTACTAAATAACCTTGATGATAGAAAATTACAAACTGATCATTTGTCAAAGCAGATTACTACTCACTGCAGCCTTTAACTGATATGAATGGAGCAAAACGATGAATAGCATCCACATTAATTGAATACACATTACGAAGTTATCTAAGAACATAAAGAATATGTAGCATTAACAAATATGCAGACAGAGATCTAACATATGCAAGTTTTTGTTCTTCAGGCATAGTATGAACACACAAGTTCTCCTTTAAAACATAAAACGATAAGTGTTAAAGTAACCAAACATGCTGCAACAGGTTAAAGATGGCAGATTTACTTTTGTTTTTGGAGCATATTTGGTGATACATATAGCATAAATTTATATTTCACAGGTGCCTTTTGTAGTAGTTAAGTAGAAGTTCTACAACAAAGGATAGCCTCAAATAAAACTGGTGTTCTACTATATTGAAATAAGATGAATAAATGCATAGAAGAGTGCCATTTATCCCTGGGAGCATTTACATCGAGCAGCAAACTGATGTCAAGGAAGACAGTCCAGACAATCCAAAAATAACTCTCATGTCACAAAGACGTAATTACCCACTTGGCATGGCTTGCTCAACACCCTGAGGTGATAATGTGAATCATTAGTATGAAAAGCAAAGAAAGCAAATACAAATGAAAGAATAATTGATAAATAAATTGGCTTCTTATTATTTTAAACAGTTGTATAACAGAAATGGTTTTTTTCAAATATTATAAACAATCAGCTTTACCATTTGGTCACAGATATCAAATTAGATCGAATGACAACTCAAATTGTTCCTATTGTAAGAAATATTGATAGGAAATAAACAATAATTCTGCTTTTAGCTGAATCCTAACACCAGTTTCAAGGTTAAAAAAACAAAAAGGATCAAAGGAAGAAGGAACAATGAGAGGTAAATAAAAAAAATACAAATAAAATTTAATCTAATGACTATTTAGTCCATTTGATCAGTAGCATACTTTAACAAAGCAACCATGCAGTCAAAAAAGCACATGCCAATGCCATGTGGAGGCTTCTCTAAAAAATGAGGTGTTTTCAGAAAAGGTTCTGTGCTGCAGGGGAATAAATGTTGCTGTTACACAAGTTCTGCCTTTTGCCAGCTGTGATCGTGACAAGGCAATGCTTTCAATCTTAAAATGTTCATTGCTTCACCAATATATCCATTAGCGTTCATTTTCAGCTAAACAAACTGAGTTTAGGATAATGCCAAGAGAAAATAAATGCAAACCATGCTCAGCATGCAGCTGCTGGTGTATGCCCGCAGGTTATGGCAGGTTATTATGAATTGGTCATTACTCTCTATTCAGATCATCTACTGGGAAAAATGCATCTTTACTATTAAAAGTCCATTTATTCATTTAAAAGAGCAGAAGTGCTAAAAAACTGAATGTCCTTAAAGGAATAGTACACCCAAAACATGATTAGCCTTCATTTTCTACTCACCCCCATGCTGAACAACACTCTGGAGTACTTTTTTGATATCTCAAATGCATCTGGAGATCTGGGAGGCTTCTTGCTGTCTGCTGACATTCAAATAATGGAGGTCTATGGTGCCCGAGGCAGAAAGGTCCATAAAAGTCCACAAAAAACGTGTCAATATTTCTCCATACTGCTCGTCCAATGTAATCCAAGTGTCCTGAGTGGGTAGCATCCAGAATTTACTCGAAACGAAGTCATTTAGAACGTTTTAGAGCCTAAACAGTAGTGTATAGGATTTCCTAATAGCGCCCCCATGCGCGCTCACGATTCTACGGAAGCCGGCAGACCAAACCAGCGCATTCAGCTCGGCAAAGAACTCATGCTCTTCCTCATCACTGAAGTCCTCAGACATTTTTCTTTCTTTGCACAGGTAAACAGCACATTTCTTCTTCTACGCTTGCATTATCGGCAGAGCAGACGCTGAATGCGCACTTTCTTCCGGTTTGGTCTGCCGGCTTCCGTAGAATCGTGAGCGCGCATGGGGGCGCTATTAGGAAATCCTATACACTACTGTTTAGAATCTAAAACGTTCTAAATGACTTCGTTTCGAGTAAATTCTGGATGCTACCCACTCAGGACACTTGGATTACATTGGACGAGCAGTATGGAGGAATATTGACACGTTTTTGTGGACTTTTATGGACCTTTCTGTCTCGGGCGCCATGGACCTCCATTATTTGAATGTCAGCAGACAGCAAGAAGCCTCCCAGATCTCCAGATGCATTTGAGATATCAAAAAAGTACTCCAGAGTGTTGTTCAGCATGGGGGTGAGTAGAAAATGAAGGCTAATCATGTTTTGGGTGTACTATTCCTTTAAAGTTTAAATTTTTAGCCTTAGTACCGGTATTTGTGTGATTAATATACATATATTAGTATAATAGAGTAGGCAAATATAGAAAACAAATTCACAAATGTTAACCAAAAAAAAACTTATGTAAAACTATAATTAAGCAGACATTAAAGTCTATTATGTGACATATGTTAGAGTAAAGTTCCCACTGTACTCCATCTTATCCAATTATTTTTCCAAGGAAAACTTGTATTTCCATATTGCAGTTTCTTCTTCTATTTCACTTCAATAAATGTATAGACCTTTTTATTAAATCCTTTCCTATTTTGCCCTTTTCTACCTATTCAACCTTGATCATTTCAAACCTAATTTTGTCCAAGTATCAAATGGTAGTAGCAAGTCTAAAGCTGGGCATACACCGTACGATCTTTTGCCCTTTTCGGGCTGATTCTTCAGTCGTGTGAGGATTTTTCAATCGGGCCAACTTTCAGCTTTATCATATGTCATGCATCGTGTAGTTTACAGGGAGTAACGAGGGGCGATTAGCCTCTCACGACCACCTCCTGATGAGGAATCAGAAAGAAAATCAAGAAAATCTAAAGAAAATCAAACCTGTTTGAAATGCAGTCGGCTGTCGTAAGATCACATCAGATGTCGTAAGATCGCATAAGATGCTCCCAATTTTAGAACATACATTGTGAGCTGTTACGTTTTCAGTTTTGTTGTACAATTTGAGCTGTAGCTGCATGCAACAATTGAAAATAACGCTCAGTGTATGTCTGGCCTTAGGAGAATGTATATGTCTTGTTTCTACAGGGAAAACTAAGTGCACCATCAGATCATTATTCCATTACACCAAATATTTTTCTTTAAACTGTGGCCATTCAGTTAATAATCAACACCTACATTAACAAAAATGCCTAAACTTTCTGGCAAAACAATAAATTTATACCTTGGTGCTAGCAGGTTTTAACACATACCTAATGAACTGTGTATATTCCCTTTCAATCTTGAAAAACTGACTACCCAGATTAAGTTTTGAGGTGTACTTCCAGCTGAAAAACATCTTTACATTACTTTTTTATTTAACGGGCAATTACCAACTGAGTGGTTGACGTTACGACTGCTGTTAGTTTGAGATCAAACCCTGTATCAAGGCTCAGTAGGCGACATACACTCATGCCTGAACCGGGGGCTCCAACCCCTTTGGCACCAATTTTAAAGTAAGGTACTTCTTTGAAAAATGACTACACAGGTAAAAGTTTTAGGCATACTTTCTCGCTAAAACACATCTCAAAACGAC